TCTGCTCTCATCTGCAAAGAGTACTCGTCCCCATTCATTGTCTCTCCAATTCCGGTGTTCCCGCACCACAGAGAACGCCTTCTCCGATGGGCAGGCGTTAGAGGGTACACACCGTACAGGGCGTCGTGCAAACAGACCACCACCGTGCAGTCTTCTGCCACCGGTAAAACGTGATATCGGTCGTCTAATCGCCTGTGTCGTGTGTCTACGATTTCTCCCGCTCTCGCCGCCTCCCTGTTTCTCTGGCCTGTAAGGCAATATACCGGTCATCTGCGGTGTGGTTCCTCGTGGACGACCACTACTAAACTCCCGTATAGCTGTTCCTGTAGTTTGAAATTGTCTCCAAAGTCGTGAAACCATGCTGGAAGCAATTCCGAACTCTGCAGCCACACTTGTCACACTGCGGCCTTCCTCCAACTTCCCAATGATTCGACCTCGGGTAAAAGCATCCAGATGTCGTCTAACAGATTTATTATTCGCCATTTCTCGCTGAGGCAGCAACTCGGTGTGATTTTAACTGCTATACGGCGTGCAATCTCTTTGCCAGAAATACTGATCTTACACCGACAACATGCTTTATACTACTAAGACACTCCCCCTTTACGTCTACCTGCATATCTGCGCATGTGCTACCGTACATCACCATACTTAATCTCCTGATTGGTCTTTCTGTCCGCTCTGCCTCTTCGTTCAGCTGATATGCTAATTTTTCGTCTTCGACCTTATTTTTGGCACACGAGTGTATTTCGTAGTCTTAGAATTATTTAATATTGGGCTTTAAATAAAAGTAGCTGATCAGTTACTTAGATTTAGCAGGAACAATCAATTACTTCGTATCAGGCTGTTGAGGTTTCTAGGATTTTTACGGAATGAAAACATAAAACAATCTACGTTATCCTCGCTGGTGTCGAACCTCAGAGCTTCCAATTACTAGCCGGACGTGCTACTAGCTACATTACGAGAACACACAGAGGAGAAGGGGAAAAATTATTATAAGGTCACCAAGTTTATTCTTTTTACCGTTATGTTAACTGAAATGTTACTAATCAGCGCAGTTTAAAAGTAGACATTGCAATAGAAATCGATAGTATTTAAGAAGAATTTAGATGTTTCCCCTCGTAAACAAATCTTGGCTTACATAAAAAAATACGTGCTTACTATCTTAAATTTCACGATTTCGTCCAGAACTGAAGATCCTGTAGAAGTGAATAAAGACTATAAGAAAAGTTCTAGCATCGCCTTATGTGAATACGGCACACGAGACCTATATGCCTTAAGGGAAGATCTGTCAAGTCTTCATAGAGGATCTTCTAAGAAAAACTTGCTAATATTCCCACTACACATCGGGAAAACAATGAAAACTAATCATGCAGCCAGCCCGTTTACCATGGATTGAACCTTGGCCTAATTTCCAGTAATCAGCGGTTTAACCACTCGGCCACTGACGGAATGTTTCCTGTATCCAAGTCATTATCCTAACAGCTTTTACAACCAATCATACTAACAACCTTCCATATAGCCAAGTAATCAACCTAACAGCTAGGCCTTGCCACTATGGGCTGTGTCTCATCTATTTCTTTTACGGATGGTTCATATCCTCTGCAATAGTGGACTCTGTTAATATGAATCCTGTAAACCCACGTACTTTGTTATTTTGTTTGTTCATATAAATAATTACATTAATCTTCTTTTCATATAAATAATTATATAAAGGCGAGAAATCTAATTATTAGAAGATCAACATGAATAATCAAAGATTTTTAAAATTCTGCATTATATGCTAACCTGCTAACAATATGACACTTTCTGTCAGTTCCAAAGTTTAATTATAATTAATCATGAGTGAAAAATGATTGCTGAAAAGACCTTTTAAATTAAGCATAGTTTCAGAAATATGAGAATATCAAATCAGTCGCCATCATAATAAGTGCTTAAAATTGATTAACATGTAAAAACCTTTTAAAAAGCTATTGAATTTTTGGATAGCTGAACTATCTCTTGAAATACAGTCTAGAGTTATTTGATTGAATACACCATGTTTTCACAGATACTTCTCTCTTTGTGAGAGGTTGTATAAAGCAATGATGAAATCAAGAATTCTTTTAGCGAACACATTATCGCAAATTTCGTAGTTAAAAGAAATTTTAAACAGGAAGCCTTTTATGACAGATTTAATTTATCCAGTTTAGTCACATTAGATAATTACTTTAGTATTCTCTAGATAGAATATACAGTTTAAGAGTAATAAGCATTTCCACTTGAATGTCATGTGTTTGCATGAAAATGTAACTTAAGCACGCGGATAAAATGCTTTAAGTATTTTATTCTGATCATTCTGATGAAATGTGTTTGTTTCTGTGACTTATGTATTCTCATGCGAAATACAAGCGAAGATAGTGCGGACTTATGTCTACTGAGGTGTTTAATTAACATAAAACTAAATGAAGGTTGACTAAAGTTTAAACTTTACAGCTATCTAAAACACTTAATTTTAAAATAAATACGGACGAAAAACAAAATTTAATAACAGTTAACCAAGTAATTTGTTCTCTCTGATGACTTTAAAAATTTAATGTTTAGAGATAACCTGTGAACAAACTGGTAATTTATCAGCCTTTTAATTAAATGTACATAAAAATTCAAAAATAGAGGTAGGAATAAGCTCTGTTGTGTTTTGTATCTTAATTAGAATATATATTTACTTCATTTTACTGCAGCAGTGTTTGCCAACCTTAAATTTATATTCTGTTGACACTAAATAATTTTACATTAGCAATGCTATGTATCCCACGAAAGAGTGGTGAACTTATCCCATAAATGTTTGCATAAAAATGTAACTTAAGCAGGCGGAAGAGCTATGTATGCTAAGTCTATTTCATATTTAAACATAACTCTAGCAGTCTTATAAATTACAGGAAAACGAAAACAGAATTCGAAAGATAAAGTACAATACTTATTTAGTTTTAAAACTAGTAAAAAGCTTAAGCAAGATAAAGTAGTTAATGGGGATTAAAATTTGCTTACATAATAAGAGTTTCCCTTATACATAACCAATTTAAGAATCAATAAAAATGGGAAAATACAGGAAATAATAAATAATGATAGTAATAATAATAGTAAAGAAAAACACAGGTTTGTTTTCCTTGATTATGGCAAAGTACACGAGGACTATTGCCTAAGAGGAGGGATGCCTTAGTGAAGGACTTTTTAAGAGAAACTGGCTCGTATCCACGTTTGGAGAAAGCTACGAAAACACCTATGCAGCCCACCCATCCGGCTGGAATGGAAGCCAGGTAGAACTATCAGTGTTCAGCGAATCTACTGCTCGGCCATTGGGCCAGAGAAAAACATGGGACTAAAACGTAATATACGCGATATGATAAAATAATATTAAGATAAAACACATGGTAAAATTGTAATTCTTTTTTTGTCATTTATTAGTACTTTTATTACATATTTTACCTGTACTTGTTTCTTATTTTCACGTATTTTACTTTGTAATTATTTCATTTTTTAGATATTTTAATTGCATAGCTTTAATTTGGTATTATTTTTCCTTTGATTTTTCCCAATTCTGCAAATTGCCAAACTGGCTTTGATCGAGAGAAGTTCACATTATTAAACACTTTCTTTTAACTTATGTAAGCAATTTTTGTAGACAGATGTAACACTATGCACTCCATATTCATTTGCTTAATAATATATAAATTCCTTTTTATTTGTTTCTTTGGCAGACACGAGTTTAAAATATATTAAAAATTAAATTATTAATAATTTCTAGCTAATGAAGAAAGTAGTAAACGAAAAAAATAGAAGGTAGACAATAAATTGAGTCTGTAATCCAGCTGAGTCTCGAACTGCTTAGTTTCAGTTGCTAGGTTCGCTTCTAAATGGATTTTTTTTCAATAAATATATTGCAAATTTTTTAGATGTTTTATTTTACAGAAATTTGAGAATATTAGAAAGGAAATCTCGTACCTTAAGGCATGTCATGAATGCATATTAATATATTTTATCGTATTTTATTGTATCGAATATGTGTCAAGTATGCTTCCAATTACACTACGAAGCCATGCAGAAAGAAGGGAGGAAATATCTTACAACCTCATCATCTTAACTCAAAAATCAAAAACAAATTTGTAGATTAATGCTTTTTGAAATAGACTATAGTTCGATAGTGGAACTATCGATCGTTTGAGAGATGAAAATGGATGAAAGAAAACTTACATATGGTAATAAAAAAAGAAATTAAAATCGTTTAATAATTTTAAAAAAAAAAAAAAAAAAAAAAAAAAAAAAAAACTGTTGCGGAGATTTAAAACAGTGAACACAATGTGTAAATATTTCAAGAAAATTCCTAGAATCTTGAATTTTCTGAATAAAAATGTTTCTCACGTGAAAGAATATTTTACTTAATTCATGTTTTAGACACTAGATTTTATAAAATTTAAAGTTAATGAAGGGTACGACTGCGATGCAATAGTTATTTACTTGCTTTGAAGTCAACTCTAATTAATACATAAGAAAATTATATAAAAAACTTTAATTAGCAATCCAAATGGTTTCTTTAATTAAACATTTCTCAATAGTAACATTTCATTATATTTATAATGCTTTTAAGAAAATGGAAATGACTTTTTTCCAACACTTTTCAAGTAATACCTCTAAGTATAAGATCACCATTCCTTAAACTGCTTGAAATACCCCCGAATATTTTGTGTTATCTTATGACTGAAATTATATGTGAATATTGCATCATTTATCATTATTATAAATGGTGAAATATTCACATATAAAAGATTTCTGAAAAGTAACAGACATTTGAGTTTAAAATACCGAAGCAGGGAATAAAATACTCTGTAAAATAATTCCTTTCCTGTTCCTCTATATATTTTAGTCTTATATTTATGATTGCACAAGATTGTTATTAAAACATGGGGGTTAGAATTCTTTTACAAATGACAGGATTTGGCTCTTTGAAAATTATAGAATTAGCTTACCAAATACTTTCATCTCTTTCTCTGCTTCAACAGTCTGGAACTCGGGAGCTTCAGCTGAAACTTCGCAACGATATGTTCCAGCACTATTGAGGTCCACGTGACGCAGGTAAACTGACTGACTTCCAGATTTAGAAAGCTGAAAAGAAAATACAATAAAATACTTTTGTTAAACGAAATATAAAATTTATATACCTCAAAACTTGTTTTTATAATAATCGGTTTTATAAATAAAAATGCATTAATGAAACGCTATTTTATAATTTATCAAATGTCTGACCATTGACCATCAGGTCATTAGGCAACGAGCTCTCCAAAACAGTCTTAAACTCTTAAGTGCAGAGTATACATCCAGATGAGCAGCGTCCATAACTTGTCCAGAATCACGCGAAGCACACAAAGGTGAAGTAGTCAGATTAAAACAAAACAAATGAGCAACAGAGCAGTCATGTCCAGTCAATAATCTAAACTCAGCTACATCAGTAGCACAAGGAGAACCCGAGACACAGTCGGCTTTTAATAGCACCCTCCGTGACTTATTTTCAGTAGCACTAACATCAACATTACGAAAAGAGTTTTTATAAATCCTATTGATTTCAAGTTTAGCAGAGTGAAGAGAAAGGTATCTGGAAGACCTTTGGAGAATTTCCGTACCTTTTTTTGACAAAAGGTCCGCCATCTCATTTCCCCAAAACCCACAATATGGTGGCTCCCACTGGAAAGCAACCTTTTTCTGGATTCTGCGCAACAGCTCCCTGCAGCTATGGACACGAGCACTTTGTTTTCCTAGGTTACTTGATAAGGAGTGAAGAGCAGAACATGAGTCCGATAAAATTACAACCTTATCAAGAGGAGAGAGTGGGGCAGAAATCTGTTGAAGGGCTAAATGGATGGCTTCCACTTAAGCGTCAAAATAGGTTGTATGAAAGCCAACAGGTAGGTAAAAGAAAAACAGATGACAGAAGATGCCAGCACCAGCGCCCGGGGTGAAATCCAAAAGGGAATCATTAGTGTATATATGAACCCACTTACCAGTAGAATAGCGAGTATTAATGAAACGCTATCAAATAGAATATAAAATTTCCTCTGATAAACTTTGCGCACAAGCATTAGAAATCATCGTAGAAGCTCACTTCTAAAAGTTATACAGATATATATAATACAGATATATATATATAAGTTAAAACGTACGTAAAGGAAAATATTAACTTTAATTTAGTCCTTTAGATAATTTAAATAGCCCCTTACATTGCAAACTGAAAGTAAACCAATCAATATCGAAGCTTATAACAACCCAATGAGAGGACTGCAAACGAAAATCTTTCTCCTTTTCGACTGAGTCTCCATTTTGAAATACGTCACATTTTCGGTTTGTTTATCTTGCTAACAGGCTTGCGGCTTATACTATCTTGAAAATTATATTTAGAAATGTAACTGTACCACTTTAAGTCTTCCGTAAAAAGGGATAATTGAACCCAGTATTTTATGTTGGTTCAAAGTACGCATCAACGAAAATCAAAAGCAACATTATTATATCGATCAAGTTTGCACGTCATTTATTAAGTAGCTACATCTATTTACAACGCTTCTAGTGGCTTCCAGTGAAATAGCTTCTTCGCAAAAAGCGGTTCGAAAGCGATGCTCCTCCAGCGTATCGGAGAAAGAAGTCCGCCGGCTCAGCAGTGTGAGTCAACGGCGAGTTAGGATTGCCAGAAAGTGGCAGATAAAGACAGGGTTACCATATATGAAGCGAATTCGCCCATTTAGGGATATTTGGGCTCAAAACTGGCGATATGTCATAGACGGAGCGAGAACATTCTAGGAAGCATTATTAGCGGTTTTCTCGAGAATATTCTCGAAGGCAGGTTAAAGCTATATGTATGTACGGTGTCCTGTCTGTACGGTGAGAAAATAGTGTCTTAATTTCAGAGGTTAGTTTGAGAGCGATGACCGTGTCGGTAGCTGTACTTTAGTGCTTTCATGTGAAGCTATCTTCACCGTTATAGCTTGATTGGCTGTGTTTGATGATTGTTCCAGCATGTTTGTTGTAGATTTTCGACGAGTGTAAACGTGTCTTTGGAACTGTCTTGTGTAATAGTGCTTACAGGCGAATAAATTGTTTTTGATTCTTCATCAAGTGTTATCGTCAGTTGCTCCAAATCAACGAACCCGTAGAACGAAACAATATATATGAATTTACAGAACAGGAATTTATATATAACACTCATTTTCCAAGTGTAATATCTAAAATAATTTGAATGCACATATGGGCATTCTGTATTGTCTAAAAATTATAATGCTCATTTAAAGTTTTCAGCTGCCAAACAAAGATACATAACAAGACGTCTAGCTTCAAAAGTATAACTTTAAATTTCTAATAGAAAGAAAGATATTTTGTAGCGCAAATACTTTGTTATTTGAAAATGTGTTTGAAACTTAAACTGTAGGCCGCCTTTCTTTTCCAATATTTTAAAAACTGAGTCGTTTAAGTGCATAACACTCGCTTAAATGTTTTCCAGTCTAAGTTACAAAAAGAAGACATTAGAAAATTCCTGCATCCGATGTAAAAACAGATGAGCATTAAGGTAAATAATGTGCAGCTAAATCATGAATCAGTGCTATAAACGTAACACCTGGAAGAATTTGGAGGAGAGTTATTGCTATGTCCTTCTCCTAGCGTTTCCTTTCGAAAATTTGAAAAATTTGAAAATGCAAATATATATATAATTATTTCCTGAATAAGGAAATTACTCTGATATTCAAGCATTTGAAAATTCGAACTTTTTGAAATATTCTGCTTAACACGTTTATATGGCTTATAAGGATTGCTGTGTTTTATTAAAATTGAAAGTTTGTATTTCAATGAAAAAAGAATAAAATCCATAATTAAATAGGAAAAGCATAATTTAGTTAAGCGCATTATAAAAAAGATTATATTTAGTTAACCATACCCAGATATAAATGAATATAGAAATTGGCTGGAATGGCAGCCGTATTAGTCACGAAAGATTTTGTCTAGGCGCATATCATAAGGAGTAATTATTATGCATCTTGTTTCAAGCTGAAAAAAGCTAATTGGATAAAATTCTGCGGAAAACGAGGATGTTGATTTAATTGAAACACAAATGAAGACTATGTGAATAATATTAATAATTAATTAAATTAAAACATCGATAGTAAATTGGAAAAGTAATATCATTCAAAAGAAAGGAATTCACACATTAACAGAGACTGTCTGCAGTTTTAACAGAAACAATGCAAAATGTACGAGTATAATCTAATTATTAAATTCAACAAATATACTTCCGAATCAGATATACAGTAACTATATTACCTGAAATGTTTACGTTTTAAATACTGCAGAAGAAAAAGTATTAGGATCTATTCAAAGTTTAAGAAAAACATACAAACAGCCCATAAAATATAATGAAAAACTGAGACGCCTGCCTCTTAAATTACAATTATTCTTCAAAGGACTTAAGCAAACATCTGGGAAATCATATATTACTATATACTATACGACTAAGCAGATGAAAACATTTATAAATATTATGCAAGCAAAATAAGAATAAAAGTACAGCTTTTTCTCAATTGCTACTGTGCCATATTAATTGCCACATTTTTTTGCGAAGAATGGATAGAGGTAAAATGTATAAACTTTAAACTCAGTTTACAACTGCTGTACATCCAGTCAAAATTCAACAATGTGATCAATAAAACAGATACCTATATTTTGTTTTTACTGGCAAATTTTAACTTTATTATAATTAATTATAACTAATAAAATTATGAAGCAAATATGTCATTTGTAAAACATTTTACTTTTAAGTTGCACTCAAGGAACAAATAAACCGATAATATTAAATATTATTTAAATTTCGTTTAGGGAAACGTAATGCATTTACGATAATTTTAAAATACAGCATCGGAACAATTTGACAGGGTCAAGATTCTCAGTAATTAAAGCCACGAAACGCTGGTTATTTTCTCTAGGTTTTATTCTCGACAATCGAGTTGATTGACTACGTGGACTGGAGACTTCGTGAACCTATTGCATTTCGGTGTATGTTTTATTAAAACATCATTGATTAGGGGTATGTAGCTTTGTTTTGATATAAACACAAAATCTGGTACAATGTAAAGAAAACTGTAATATAATGCTAGTAAATCTTAAAATTTATAAATTAAATTTTCAACAGAATACATCTGGAATAACATTTCGATTCTTTACATAGAATGAATAAATTCTAAAAAGGGTGATCAGTTAGTAAAACGAAATTTGTAAGACTCCCGGTACATGAGAAATAAAAAACACCTTCCAAATGTCGTATTTCATTTGTAAATAAAAAATAAATTTATTACTGCAGCCACTAACTTTATCTCTTTAACAGACCTTCAAAAACACTTTTCCAGAAGGCTTTAATAATAAAAAGGGCTGGATAGTTATCTTTATTAGTCAATAAATCATTTTGAATTGTTAAATACGCCTGCATTGGTAGGCCTATATTCAAATTAATTTCAACAGAGACAATATTTAAATATTGAAATGGTTTTTAACAAAGAAAATTAAATTGTGTTAAACCGAGAAAATATTTAAAATGAGTTGAATGAAACACATTTCGTATTCTATTTAAGTCAGGAAAAATTTGTTATGACAAAATGCATACGCCTTTAGTAATTTCGCACGCTTAATAAATAAACTGTAATTACGATACTGACATTAAATTTGGTATGAAATTAGCGCAGGACTCCTATTTAATAAGCGCCATCAAAATTAATTTGCTTAGCAAGTAAAGGCCATTAATTATTTAGACATGATGACTCGTATTTAGACTCTGACTCTAATTATCTAATTATCTCCTCTTTTTCCACGAGAAACTAGTACTCCGATTAGTATTTTCTGCGAAACAAATGGCAGCATATCTCATCACAGAAATATTCTAGATTTTGTATATTTTCTGAAGATTTCAGCCTTTATCAGGTGTCTAATAGAACCAGCATAGCGTGATAAACAGATTTAGTATTTTATATAATTCCTAGTGTAGTAATTGAAGGCATGATTCTTCATTAGCATTTAGCGTCAAATGCCTGTTCTGGTTTAGTATCGCAGATCAAGCATGGCTGCTTGATACCTGAGAA